TTTTGGAAACACACACACATACACACACAGACTCTCTCTCTCTCTCTCTCTCACACACACACACACACACACACACACAAACACACACACACACAAACAAACACTCAAACATGCACACACACGCAGGCTTAAAGTCACATGCATAATATAAAAGAACAGAAAAATAACAATAATAATCTTAAACTAGATACATGCTCAATGTTACTCTGATTCATGATCTAAGGTCATAATATGAATACTTATAACAAGACGATTAAGATGGAAGAATTTTGATGGATGATGGTAAAAATGACCTTCTGTATCTTTCTCTGTTACAGATCAGCAGCTTATAGGACTTTTTCGTCTGACTGATTTTTTTTATTTGAGGACACAAGGGATGTTTGTTGTCTAAAAAGATGGAATTAATTTTTTTTTTAGTGCAAGCTGTTAAGTACAATTCATCCAAGTTGGGGAATGTAGATGTTGAAATTTTACAATCTTTCCTTATCAATCTATTTAATTTTCCTTTATCTTGTTGTTTTGAGGTTTGAGCATTAACTTTGACGTTGCTACTGGTCACCGGCTGTTGTCTAAAATGTATAACGTTTGAACGTTTGGCTCGCACTGTCGCCAGGACGATGTAAAGATCCTGTGTTAGATCTACCTTCTTGTACTTATTGGCCTGTCGGACCACATCCGCTCTTCCACACTTCCGGTCATTTCACTCGATCTCTCAACCTAGTAATGATAGGGAGACTCATTGGAAGATATCTTGGCACTTTCCTGATCGAAATTCTCTCGTGGATCAAGACCAATGGCCTCACTAGGTCGATGTTACACAAGTGGCGTGTTGGGGACATTGTTAAAGACCACATGAAAAATCAGCAATATAAATATTCTCTCCCCCTCTCCCTTTCCCCAAACCAGAAGAATTCAGTTATTAGTCATGACAAGTCACGGTGGTCCTCATTATTTAATCTTTATTACTGTTTAATCACTCAAGGGGGTGCAAATGATGCTTTAAAAAAGGTCATGTTTTTAAAAAGTTACCCTACTTTAGCGCTGTCGTGTAACTCAAAATTAAAAATAAACCCTAAGACATTGAATTTTATAAAGGAGTGATCAGAGATCCCTTAGTTTCAATCCGCTAAACTCGTTAAACAAAACAATAATAATAGGACCACCAGATACTACATTACTAATAATGCTGGGAAATCGTAGTGGCCCTTAACTTTTCTTTAGTGGTATGTTATTATAATGCGCCAAAGACAAGGTCTGATGATACATGTAATAGATTATTTAAGAAAATTTTGGAAAACAAACAGATATACCCACCAATAGACTTGTATGACATTGCTTTTAAACAGAAACATTTTGCAGTCCCTTCCTATTATCCTAAGACGGAGTACAAATGCACCACTTGGAGAAAACAGTAAGCTAAGCTAAAATGTTTTGTCGGCGAGTTGTGGACAATGACTATAGGACATGGGTACCGCACCAGTACAACACAATCATTCAGTCAATATCCTCTGATTTTAATGGTCCACAACTCACCGTCAGAACTGCTGGCCAGCTTTTTTGTCGTAGTACAACACTGGACTTACATGCAGTAACGATTGAAGAAGAATTCTCGGAAAGAACTGGTTAGTTTAGATGATTTGCCGAAAAGACACTCGGACAAAGAAACAGACTTGCAACAATGCACAAAGAGGTGCCCTTCACAACAAAACGGGCGATCCTCTGTAGGCAAAACCACGCCTTTTTTAACCGAAAGGTACAAATACAACCACTTCAAATAACAAAACGAGACACCTTCTCAATTTTAGAGATGCTGTTTGGTATTTCTGTTGTAGGCTATACGATTACGAGTGGGTCCCTTTCGGACCAGTTTAGCTAATTCCTGATCCGCTATGGATCCGTTGTACACGTAAACTTATTACAGTCAATAGTGGCATCGAATAATTATAAATTATAAGTTGGCGGAAGTTGGTCAATGCATGTGGCTTTTCTTAAAACATGGGCTAGTGAACTGTACCATCCCAAGAGAGAGAGAGAGAGAGAGAGAGAGAGAGAGAGAGGGAGAGAGAGAGAGAGAGAGAGAGAGAGAGAGAGAGAGAGAGAGAGAGAGAGAGAGAGAGAGAGAGAGAGAGAGAGAGAGAGGGAGAGAGAGAGCTGATCATTGATCCGATGTAGAAAATGTCATCTTAAATAACGCGGTTAGCAGAGATAGCCCCGCCACTGGTTATAAGCTGTTCTTTTGACTTTCCTCTTCTTTCTTCTCCAGACAGAAAAGCATTTGAAACTTGAAACCAAATACACATGTATAACAGTGGGTCCACAATATTATGTCTTTGCCTATAATACACGTTACAAAGATTATACCATTAATTATTGGCAGTATGCACACTGGTAGTTTTCGCAGTCAAATATTAGGGAGGACCGGTGTCTGGAACTTGTGACGTAGATATCTCTGCTAGGCAAGGCTTAGACGGCTTAGTGGTCAGTCAGTGGTCATCGTAGGCCTACGGTGCCGTGTTGTTTTGTTGTACCTTGCGCTTACTGTGCCCTTATCAACCGAGAGGGCCTGGCCTTTTGTTTTTTAGTTGCAAGACTTTCTCGTTGGCTTGGGTTCCATTTGTAAAGTAAGTGTTATATTATGCATTGCAACAACAACAGAATTAGTGAATTTATAAACTGCTAAAACTTAAAAGACTTCAGAAAACTGCGAGAGTTGTTCAAAGATTCCTGCTGTTTAGTTTTAGCTGGTTACCCCCACCCCTACCCCTACCCCTACCCCTAGCCCTACCCCTAGCCCTCAATCCTGCTCTGTCTCATAGTGGTCGCTCGTTACGGAAGTCCTCCCAGCAGTTTTAGTTTAGTTTTGAAGTACGGCTGTGGTCAGGCTAGTCGCCTATTTATAAATAATAAGCCGTTCGTTGCTTTCATTGCTTGTTCCTTCCTGCTCGTTCCTTCCTGCTCGTTGTTTTCGCACTCTGTTCTGTAGGTTGGTGCTCATGGATCTGGCAGTTTGAAACCAGTCTAGGTTCATGGAGAATTTATGTGCCTTCCAGACCATGTCAATCCTATTCTTGAAAGCATTCAAGGATGGTGCAGACACCACATTTTCCGGTAGGGAATTCCAAGCATTAACTGTGCGTACACTGAAGAGGTTTTGGCGGACTGCTGTTTTCACATGTTTTTTTTTCCATTTTAGGCTCTGTGTCCCCTAGTGTTAGAGTGTAGATCCCGCGGTAAAATGTATAAAAATGTCTCCCGTTACGTTGTAAATTCCTGTTAAATACTTAGCATTCAATCAAGACACCTCCAGCTCTCCGATAGTATACAGCGATGGCAGATCCAATTTTCTGAGACGATCGCAGAAAGCAAGGTGCTGTAGTTCAGGAATTAGTTTGGTGGCCCGACTTTGCACTTTACTTTTTCAAGTTGTTCTTCATCACCTTTAAGTCTGGGGTGCCAGACCACATTTCCATACTCTAGATGAGGACGAATGATTGATATCTGTACAGAGTAGAAAGGGACACTTTGTCCAGCATTGTGAAACCTCTCCGGATCAGTGCTAGAAGATTGTTAGCTTTGTTGACTTGGATACTGACATGTTTGCTGAATTTTAGTTCACTATCAATCAATATTCACACCTTTGTCTTTTTCTAGTCTCACAGATTCTAGAGTGATGCGTTCACCTTTGGATGTCATCTTGTACTCACATGGGTTTCTGTTTTTCCCAATGTGCATAAACCTTGCACTTTTCTGCAGTAAACCTCAATTGCCGCGCATCAGACCAGAGCTGGAGTCTGTTCAAGTCATCCTGGAGGTTGTCCGAATAGTCGGGTACTTCAGCAAAAATCTTTGTATCATCCGTGAACAGAAAAGTAGCAGAGAGGATATTTTCAGGGAGGTCATTGACGAAGCATACAAAGAGAAACGGACCTAGCACACTTCCCTGAAGGATTCCTGACTGCACACATATGCTCCCAGGATGACTCGTCTTCTCCATTTACAACCTCACACTGTTGCCTATCAGTCAAGAAGTCCCTTATCCAAGCGTGAATCTGCCCCTCAATTCCATAGCCTTTCAGTTTTGTCAACAAACGTTCGTGTGGGACGGTATCGAAGGCCTCTCAACACTATTGCCATAGCTTTTAAAATAAGATCTAGATCTAGATGTAGGCTACAGCATTCACTGTATTCAGTCAGCACTAGAATCTACAATGGCTTCCAGTTTAAAAACTAAAGCATTTTAGGCCTACTACATCTAGATCTATCTAGATCTAGAATTAGATCTAGATCTAGATCTAGAGATATCTCTACAACGTTGCAATATATGCTATGACTATGGCATGATTAGGCATAGAGATTCATAGTTTTTAATTTTAAACGATCTGGCGCTACAATATTGACAATATATAACATCATAGATCTCTTTCTGTTTCTAAGTACTAAGCACATGAGTCATTAGTCAGTGTATCAATAGTATCATCTTGAAACTTACAATCTACTAAATAATAAAAAGCAACACAATGTTCGTGTGCCTTGTAAAACAAAAAAAATAGGGGGAACATCTTTTTCGACAGCTGAGTCACAGCTGCTCCCTCAGTGTGGAATTCCCTCGCGCTGTATAACAACTGCATTAAATGATTTAATAATTTAAGATTCTCTTCCAACAGCAAGTGTGTTCAGTGATTGTCTTTTTGTATTTTGTTCATAGTCATAGTTTATTTTATGTGTGGCCTATTTAATTGAAAAAACTGTGGTACGTTGAAATTGATTGGACCAGTTCAGTATCGTGTCATCATATAGGCCTACCATGTATGAAACGGTAAATCTTTTTATTGTGAAGCGCCTTGAGCCACCAGGGAGTGGACGCTATAGAAGTGATCTTTATTAATGATTTTTTAATTATTATTAAATTTTAAAATACTAAAACTTAAGTTGCATGTTGCAGTATTATCTCTTTTACGCTCGTCTCCTGTTCAGATAGGCCTACTCTAAAGTATGTTCTCATAATTTTTGTAAATGTTTTACGACCAGTATCTTGTGGGCCCCACAATGATGACTCATACAGACTGGAGCTGAAACTGATAGGTGATACAAACCAGGGGTACAAATGGTCAAAACAAGCAAGACTGAATAAAATATCGTTTCGGCATAGTGCTCTGAGGAAAGACAGATTCGCAAACTGATTTGTTCACTGCTTTGACGAGGATATAATCTACTTCTAACTGGTACTTGTACACAGTGATGTCCACTAAACAACAACCCAGACAAGAGGAACTTCTGCCTGACAGCAACCTTAGCTTGTGTAATGGAATTTTTCTATGTAAATAACCTCCTTTAACAACAACCTTTTTTTCTAACTGGAACCATCGTTGCAATAAAAATAGTCTGACAAAATTTTTTGGGGGAGATTCAAAATCAATGTGAACACCAAGACTGGCCAGCGTATAATTTCAGTGTGCATGCATCCCCCTCTCTAGTTTATCTCAACACAACAGCTGTTTGGGCCAAAAATATACTATGTTGAGTACATGAGCTCAGTTTACACCCTCTGGCCAAGGGTCTCCTGGCTGAGGATAAAGTCTTGTCCGTTGTGTGTGATATAACTGCCGTGCGGTCGAGCATCGATCACTTGAAATGACAAGATCTAGTCAAACCTGCTACTGATGATGCTCAAGAAATCACTTTCTGTAACAATACCATCACCTGCCTGTGATCAGGACTCATGCATGTGTTTATGTGTATGTGTGTGTGTGTATGTTTGTGTGTGTGTGTGAGTGTGTGTGTGTGTGTGTGAGAGGTGGGAGGGATGCAGAATCCCCCTTCTTCCCTTTGAAAATTCCCTCAGTAGCAAACTGTTACTTACTTGGTTGGAGAGTAGGCATCCTTGCACAATGCGATAGCTGCTCCTCCCTCCTCTCCAGGATCCATGAAAAGGTCTGCCTGCTGATCGTGCCAGTTAACAGCTGTTTGGATATGTTTTCTTCTGGCTTTTCCACGCTGGTTGCTCTGCCTAAGAGTAATGAAGGCTTGCTTCCAAGGCGTTTGCTGTTAGACTGACACTACTGCACCTACAAGTCGCTTCCATTGCGAACTGGATGCGTGCTTATTCTTTGGTTCTTATATTTGTTTTAAAAAGTGCTTATATGCTTTATGATCTTTGCAGATGTTTGAAGTACCTCATGACCATTAAGGTTGAGAAACGATTACTCAAAGCATTTTTTGTACCACTTACAGAATTGCAACGTCATCTGTCATCGAGCAATGGGAAGTGTTAAAGTGAGTGTACGAGGCTGCCGACCTCAGCTGTTGTTCCCTGTTCTTCTTCTTTGGGCCCTTGCAGCTCATGCAGAAGACGTTCTATATGATGATAATTTTGAGCCTGATAGTTCCAAGTTCAAGCTGGTAGTGGATGAAGCAAAGGCTCCAAGGTGAGAGGATTACATGAGCAGAAAGCTAAGGAGAGATGAAATAGTCATAATAGAGAGAACATGCAGAGCAAAGATTTTTTATGACTAGTTTTACTATTCAGTACATGATATAAAAAGCAAAACACAAAAAAACCCCCAAAACTAAGGAAAGTTGCTTGCCTAAGCAAAAGTTATCCCCTCAATGGCAAAAAAAAAGAACAATTTTAAAGATGTCTGCCTTCCCCTACAGTACAGTAATGTGTTGGGAAGAAAGGATAAGTTCAGGCAATAGGCTACTGTATTGACTACAGCTAGAACTGCAGCATTTTCAGTGAAGTGTTTTCTTGCAGCTTATGTGTTGACTCATCTTTACTGTTACATTTTTATTTTCTGGCATTAAATCATCTTTTTACTTTATCTTTACTCTAGGTATGCAATTTCAGTACTTTTTTGAAGTCTTGGATAACGAAGCTTGAGTTTTTTTCATTAATTTGTGATTGATTTTAATTTATAGGTACCTGCTGTATGATGTGAACCCAGGGGAAGGATTCAATCTTCGTCGAGATGTTTATATGAGAATAGCCGTGCTGGTACGCAATCTCAATGAGGACTCTCCCTGGATATTGGTTTTACCTCCGTGGGGCAGGATGTACCACTGGAAATCCAAAGATGTCGGGCAACAAATTCGCATCCCCTGGTCAACTTTCTTTGATTTAGAGAGTCTGAGAAGATTTGTTCCTGTCATGGAATTTGCAGATTTCTTAAAGAGTAGGTGTCTTAAAGTGATGTTATATTTTTATAGACATGGGAAAAGTAAAATATATAGTGGAGTCAAGACCTATGTTTTATTTTGAGCTAGTACTTCAAAATAAATGCAAGTTTACTTGAAAGTGGACTCAACTCCTTTGATTGTTTCCTGCCATGCACATCTCATTGAATGTAATGAAGAGTGTGGTATAGCATAATACACAAAAAATGTATCACTGAACAAGGACTGTACATGTTTATAGTAATTTGTGAGCAGTGGAGAGGGGAATAAAATGGCAACAGTTTTTTTTCAGAAACGCTTTTTACTCTTTGTTTTTCTAAGTTTTACTAAATGTTAATGTCTTGGTTTATAAAAATGAGACTCTCTCTCAGCTGGTAAAAGTTATACAGTATTGTACAAATAAGCATGAAGTTTGGCGGTGCAATTTATAAAAAATTTCTGGTTGTATTTTCTGTTTTCTTCAGGTTATTTAGAAATATATTTGATAGTTTATGTAATGCAAAGGGTTTTCTTACTGTTTGATTGAAATCACTGTATTCTGTTGCCAGCCTATAATCCAGTTTTTGTTACAGCTCATTATGTCCTGCATCTTCTTGAATTTAGATTTCAGTGGGAAAGGATGACGATACTGATCAATTGAAACTTATCACCTGAAAATTCTTTTGTAATAAAGTGTTAAAAAGAATTGCACAGGCTGACGTATTATTTGACAAATCTGGTACTAGTAAACACTGATGAAAAAAATAGTTTTTCAGAACACCGTGTTTGAAACCAACTTATTTATTATTTGCCTGTTTTTTTTACTCTTGTTGTCTGAAGTAACTATGTCATCAAAGCAAAAAAGCTGGAGAGCAAAGTGAATCATTTTGTCAACTGAAACTATTGTGGTATTTAATATTTTTTCATTCATGGCCTCTTAATGTCTTTGTATCCCTATTTGAACTGTTGCTTTCTTTATCATTTTCATACACATTGAACGTGCCACTGTGACTTAGTTTTATATTCTTTATTGTAATTAATGACGTGAGATGCTCTATGAACTGATTGCTTTTGAAATTTTTATTTTTTTCCAGTTTCTCCCAGCAAAGAGATTAACGAAGTCTACTATCTCCAGAACTACAAAGAAGGCTGGGACAAGTGGGAAGAGAAGATGGATAAAAGGCCTTGCATTTTTAACCCATATTACTTTGTAAGTGTTTTCAGCTACAGAATTGTTTTCTTCGCATTCTGAACAAGATACCTGATTTCTAAACTTTTGTTGTTTTTCTGCTTTCTTTTGTTCCGAGTTATGTGTTTTCTTTCTTCTGTTCATCTTTTTCTTTAGAAACCAGTCAATTGCCAAGGTGGTCTCAGTATTTAAAAGTCTTTTGTGTTAAGAATTCTACATGATAGCTTTTATATTGTATGGATTTGTCAGGGAGCGGTTTAGAGTAGGTCATGCTTATTCTTTGCTCCTCCTGGGTCTTTTTTTCTGGAGCAGAATTACTGTGGGTGGTTAGCGGGTACTCTGGTGTGGTTTGCTCCTTCATTCCTGTTCAACATCTATCTGTTTATTTCTCTTCTTCTTTTCTTTGTATGTCATTCTCTAGTAACACCCGGATAATAAGCTATTTGTCTTGCAAGTGCTGTAAACTCTCACTAAGACTAAAGCCCCGGTCACACGCAACGATAAACTGTATCGGATTCGTCGTATGAGAGAACTGTCCGTTTTATCGAACCGTATTGTCTGTTTATACGCTCCAATCTATCGTTCAGTTTTCGATCGATTGAGAAGATTCCTCGTCATAAAGCCACCCTGTCTCTTTGCGACGACAGCGATTTGCCTGCTCTCTATGTGAAGGTTTCGAGCTCTGGACCTAATGAACGAAAGGCGACACTACCTCTAGATCACAGAAGCCCCCCCCCCCCTTTTCCCCTGTACATTTTGATATAGCAGAACAGTGTCTTTAGAAAAGGGTGGCCATACTGTAGGCCTACCGTGTTGTGTGTAGAACTGGAAGCTTTGACTTGACTGAAGATGTGCAACGCACCGAGTGACCTTGATGCACAGCTTCACAATTGACGATCAACTAAATAATAAAAGTTGCTAAAATATACATAATAACACACCAAATCAGGTTCACTGCAAGCAACTTTACTTATTTTGAGACGCTGGTTCCGAATATGAAATCAGTTTTTACGTTAGGTAATTGTAAAAAAAATTTTGAGTCCTGAGTTTCATTCTGCGCAGCAGCAAATTTCAAAGTGAATCTACGTCACAGCGCGTCTCCCTCAAAACTGAACATGATCGCTCGTAAAATATCAAGCAGCGCTTGATTTCTCGACCGAGTCTCCAAACCATCGTTCAAGCGTCCAAATTTTGTACAATTTTGTGGTTACACCTAACGATTTTTCGTATGATCGCTAGATCGTCCAGTTTTTGTACAATTTATCGTTACGAGTAACCGGGCCTTAAGACTTGTCCTTGCCATTCTACTGTGCCTCTCTCTGTTTTGTTTTTTTCTTAAATTGTCAGTTTGTCTTTCTAATTTCTCATGTGGCACAGGACTCTGAGCAGGACAGGTGGCATGGCTGGTTTTTCGGCTATGAGGAAGAGGTTTGGACAAAGAAGTTGGAGTGTTTGTCCGTGATGGGCCATGCTAGTTTCCTCAAGCCTTTCCTAACCCAGAACCGCACGGCCAGGCAAGATACATTTGTTAGTTTTGTAACAATGTTTTTTGACATGTTGAAAATCATGGGAAGTTCGGAGTACAGAACATTCAGAACTTTTTCTTTTGGCAGGAGCAACGGTCAGTTGGCGAAACTTTTGCTTACTTATTAATTTGTTATATATTGGGAAGGGGTACTCTTACTTTAGGAAATAAAAGTGGTCAGTATACTCAGTTGATGTGAATATATTAAGCAATATTAGGTCATAGAAACCATTAGATGTAAGGTTAGTTGTGCATGTTCTTGAAAAGACATGTTACCTTTTGCACAAATAGTTTGCTGCACTGTTTTGGCCAGCAATTGTGAATTTGTATGTATTTGTTAATATGTTTTTTCTATTACTGTATAAATGATGTGATTTTGTGTAATCCGTATGCTGTTGTACATGCGACAATAAGGAAATTTCTAACTGCTATGAACTGCTTGTTTGCGACATGCTATAACTGGTCACTTCTGTACTGCACAGTTTTTGAGATAGGGTTTTCTTGTCTAGGTCAGGGGTACAACCTGGTGAGCACCCACCTTAACATAGTATCACTGACATTGCTTTGCGTTACTTTTGAGCCTGAGTTTATTGACCATCCGCCAGGAAAGCCCACAGTGAAGAAAACTTCCGTCACAAGCTTATGGTTAAATTGCTCTTTCTATATCCACTTGACATTGTCTCAAGCAAAATTCACTGCTGTTTAGGGAAAAACGTAGTGTATCTTTTACTTTTTCTTGTGTTTGCACCTAATGTTTATATTGAGTTCATGGTAAGTGGAAAACATGTATGCTTAAAGTGCTCTCCCCTTTTCTTTGACAGGTCTATAATGCTGGACAGAGCAGAAATCGTGCTTCATGATCGCTATGGGGACTCGGTATTCTGGCAAGTGGGTGATAAGTGTTTTTCATACTTTTGTCTTGTCAGGCGTTCAACGCTGAGAAGGTTAGAATGATAAAAACAAATCATTGGCTGGGTTTATAACTCTGACAAACACCATTTTGCAATATGATGTTTGTCGAATTCTTGCACCCAGTGATCAAGGTGGACTTAATATCATGTCATTGACAAGCTATTCAAATGTTCTAAGCCCAGAAAGCTAAATTTTTCAGTAGAGAGAAAAGACTTTCTTTCTTTTATAAAATTATGTCTACTTTACGCGTCTCTTCTGGATTTTTCCATCACTTACGATTTCAATTTTGACCAAATATTTCTCGAGAGCAGGCAAACAATACCACTGATTAGGATTGCTATAAACATTTTTTTTTTCATAATCTTGGGCTTGGTAGATTTGAACAGTTGGCCTTTGATATGAATATTTCCATGTGAGTGAAAAGAAATAAGTAGGCCTATGTTGAATGGCTTTTTATTTTTTTTGGCAAATGTTTAACGGCGCTCGCCACTGCATGAGGTCTTATGAACGTGCGGGACACACCCAATATTTTCAGTTGGTAGGAAATTTTGAATTTTTTTCGGGTGGCGGCCGAAGCCTACTCTTATCGATTTTAGACCACCAAGAGATCTTTAACGTGCGCAACTTGCACACGGGACCTCTGAGATTTTTCGCCCTTGTCCGAGAAGGCTAGGTGTAGATCTTTCCTCCCAGAAGATCAGGGGTGTGGCAGAAAGACAGCAGTAAGAAAGAGCCAAGGAGTAGCAGTAGAAAGGCTGCAGAAAGAGTCAGGAGCCCAGAGGAGGGGGCAAAGGAGGTGAGGGGGTAGGGGCAGAAAGAGGCGTCAAAAGCAGATGATAAAACATTGCTAGAGAGCAGGAAAGGAGGTGAAAGGAGACAATTTTAGAGAAGACAATTTTTCGGTCACTACCTGGATTCGAACTCGGGACCTTTGAATGAGAGGCCAACACCTTAACCTCTAGGCCACGAGAGCCCCCATGGCTTTGTTTACGACTCATATGTATAATATGGTGTCCAAAAGAACTGTCTCCCATTTGTAAACATCCTCGCTTTTTTGTTGACTGAAGTGACATCTGAGGCACCGCTCTGTCACAACAGAAGAATTAGTAATTTCAATGAAAGGAAGGGACTGGAATGTATAACACAGAGATAATGAGATTGTTTGAATTTATGACTGCTGGCTCATTGGCTACATGATCATCATTCCTGTGACATTACCCACCCACTTTCTGATCCATTTTCCCCTTGTGGTAATGAAAATTTACCACATCTTGCAAATGTTTTACATGACAAAACATATTTGCTCGATTTTATAGGTCATGAACAGAGTTTGGCTACTCTGCAAGTTTTAGAGAAAGTCCACCTTGGTCAGAACTGGTGGCTCTGTATCTGTGAAATGAGTGTTGCAGATATGATCAGATATGTCTCCCAACTCTTTGTCTAGAAATACTGACAACTGATGAAACAACTGAAGATGTCGTGTTCACTAACCTTTTGCTTGGTTTTCCTTTTTCTAAATTTTACTTTTCTTTCTTCTTTCGAAAACTGAGTAGAGAAGTAGTAATGCAAGGGAGGTGGAAAAGGGGAGGATTTAGATGGAAAGTTTCATTCCGTCTGTTTTGTGATTAATCGAGTGATCAAGATGTGATAATGCTGATAAAACCTTGGCAAATAATAACTCATTTGTATGCATAGCCCCCTGGAGTAAGAGCCCTAAGAACTTCGTATCTGTTGTCATCCACAGGCACGGCGCAGTATGAGGTTTGCTCAACAGTTGCGTGACATTGCAGATGATTTCCGCAGAGAATTTTTGGACTCCACTGATGAGAAAGACGAGACGGTGCTTGATGATGACTGGACACAGATGAAAGTGAGTTGGAGCATTCTGTCAAATGTCTTGTTTATTCAATCTCCAAAGGAACTCTTCACAGTTTTGACTTTGAGTGTTTTGGAAAATGGCACTCGTAAATCTCACTTCTTTATTACCTTTCTGTTCCCTTTGACTGTCTCTTTTTCTCTTTCCAAGAATACTAGGACTCTGTAAGGGTTATTGTTCTGATTTGATTCGCTTGACTTCAGAGTATAACAAATTTGTTAGATGGCGTGATGAAATGAGGCGCTCATCAAAATAATGCAATGAAGGAAACCAAAAATTTTCTGGCCTTTGTGATAATTTTTTTTTTGGCTCAATTATTTTTATGTCCATTTAAGAACATATTTCTGTGTGGATTTTACTGTCTATAAAACATTGATTAAAGGCTCAAAAAATGTAAATTTGAGGTTTCCAAGGACACTTAAGTCTGGGAAGTCAACAAACTTTGGCGGCCCTTTTTTTGCTAGTTTTATCTCTGCCACTAGGTGACCCCCACCTTCATCAATTGCAAATATCTTGACTTCTATTCAAGATTGATGGGTATTTTTTACGTCAAATGCAAGACAAATGAACAAGCTTTAAGGTAATACCAATAACTCCACATGCCCCAAAATTGATGTGTGCTTGATTCCATTGCATCGTGAGACATTTGTAAAAATAAGCAATAGTATTTTAGTCGAATCTTGGCCAATCTAGTTAACAAATGGACCGCCAGAATTCCATGGTGAGTGACTCACTTGTAAAATGAAGGTTTTTTTGGTCTAATTGCACATTAAATTCATATATGGACGAAACGTGTTGTGTTTGTTTTGTGTACAATGATCATGAGTTGCTAATTGCTAATAATTATTCAATCCCTTTTCTGGCAGAGAAATCATGGGGATGCCAAAGGAGGGCCCTATCTCTCTGTTCACTTGAGACGAGAAGACTTTGTGAGATCACGCAGGAAGGACATCCCTTCTCTGGAGCATGCAGCGAAGCAGATTAAGAAGTTGATGACGAAGCTAAAGCTTAAGAGGGTCTTTATTGCCACAGATGCGCCACAAAACGGTGAGCAAAAGGCACTTTTGTGCAGTCATTTTTGTAGTACATATTATTTATAGCTGTGTCTGCTCTCTGATAGAAGGCTCACATGACTTCACAATGACTGGCTTGCTCAGCCTGTTCCATGTCTCAAATTTGTGTCAAGTTGCAGTCTGTTAGGTGCATACAGCTGTCAATACTATCCTTGCTTTCTTCCTTCAGTCTTGATTTTCACTTTCCCATTTTGCAGCTTTGTAGACTATGGAAAATTAGGGTAAAGTGTCTCATCTCAAAGTACAATATCTTACCCAGCTCACTCAGGAATCAAACCTGTGACTATGAGTCGGATGTCTTATTATTAGACTTTGAGGCTTCTGTACATTACTGTGAGAAAAACGCAGAGGGTTCTTTAACATGAGCTGCTTTGAGGTTCATTGTTCATTGCTTCAGGAAGCAACATACCTGCACTCCGGACATGTCAATTGATGCTAAGTTGCTCTCTCCAAAATGTTGCTGAGGGTCGTTCCACTGATTGTGCCAGTGCACATCTGGTTGAACGTTCTTCTGTTCTTTTCTGCAAGGATGCCAGATTTTCCGCTTCCTTTTTGTATTCCCAAAAGCATCATCCTGTCCACGGCAGTACCGGCCTCTGCCTCCCTTTCTTCCTCCTCCATCAGCTGGCGAGAGAGACATTTCAGGATCTCGACTCTATCTGGTTGAACCGTATTGTCAACTGAGGTGGCCTCACTAGGCAGTCTGTCAGGTTTTTCCTTTCCCCCAACACCTGCATGGCCAGGGCAGAAAATCCATTTGAGAGATTGTTGAGGCGTTGGTTCGATAGCTTGAATTTGAATCCATTCTGTTCTCAGGAATCCTTTTTCGATCCTTTTGATGGTACACATGGAATCAGTGATAAGAACAGCATTGGTTGTGTGGGGGTGATCTTGGGTCATCCAATCAAGTGCTTTCGTGATGGCTTCAATTTCCTTTCGCATACTTGATGTAGCCCTACTGCTGGCTCCAGATGCACTGTGTGTGATTTTATTATTGATGAATGCAACAAATCCCTATCCGCTTTTCTGGCTATCTCTTTTCACTGAACTGTCTGTATAAATTATAGGATCCCCTACTTTTGAGTTTCACAGTTTGTGTCAACAATCTCACTGGTATTGCTCTCGTTGATGGAAGCCACAACATTTCTTCTGTCTCTGCCCATGCTTATTTTGACCTTGGTGATGTCCCTGTATTCTCTTGTCACCTGTTACCATTCTTCGCCTAGTGGTAGGCTTTCAGGTACTCAGATTTTTCTCAGGGAATCCTCTGCTTCCATCATCCAAGATTTTGCTCTTTTGATTCTGCCTCTCTTGTTGTCATGAAGTGCTTTGTGAAGTGGATGATCCTTCTTGCCCATCACACTGAGATACATCTTTGCCTGAGCTATCCTATGGCGTACTCTGATGCCACTTAAACCTAGCATTTAGCGTATCCACAGTATTGGAGTGTCCTTGGTGCAGCCCAGCACTGCTCTCATTGCCTCATTCTGCACTCGATCCAGCTTTGCGATCTGTGTGTCGGACAGCGTGAGACAGCCCAATCCGTAATCAATGACAGACGGGACGACCAGCTGCAACATCAGGAAGAGCACTCTTTGTGGAAAAGGAAATGCTTTTAAAAAATACATGCTCCAGAGAAGGGATGTATTTTATAGAGTGCTTCGAGGTGCATGTGTAGAGCTATACTCTTTGGAAGGAAACATAATTGAATTTAATCTTGTATTTTGTTTTGGCACTTTAATGTTGAAATTTTTTAAAAAGCATTTCCTGTTAATGTAGATAAAACCTTGAGAGCCAATTGACTATTTTTCATGTACAGTCTTGGATTCAGAGTCTACATGTGAGAAAAAAATTTCAGGCAGATAGCTCCTTTTCTATAAACATAACAGAATGTTTGAAGGGTGGCCTTTGTTTTTGTTTTAGAGTTTGGCGAACTGAAAAGTTACCTCGAGGAGTACCAAGTATACAGGTTTACCCCTACTCCTGAGGTCAAGAGCAAGTACAAAGATGGTGGAGTGGCCATAATTGACCAGTGGATCTGTGCCCATGCCAAGTAGGTTCATGAGTATAAAATACAGTAAATTCCTTCTTTATACTGTGTCATCAACAGATTAATCATAATAGAGTGTGTATATTGTTTAGACATGGTATTTAAGGGGAGCTATTCTTGGACATACAACCTAGAAGAATTTCTTTTGTAACTGAGTAGGCCTACAGTCTAGCATGCACATCACAAAACAGGCCCATAGGAAACAGAGTTTCAGGCCACAAATTTTTACTACTGCATGTACGTTCTTTGTATTTAAAACATGCACATATTGAAATTTGTATATAGCAACAAGATTTCTGTGTCCCACTGATTTTGCTACGTGCTTGCTAGTTTGTATACACTACACCTGGAATGTGCACCTTTGATGTTTTATTGAGAATCTTCTAATGAAAATTTCTTAGTCTAGAGAATTCCTTCACCCCCAGTCATAGAGGACAGGGAAAACAATGTATTAGAACTACTGCCTCTTTTATTTTGTCCCTGAGGCATTAAATTAATAGTAGAAGTTGGTAGCAATATTGAAGAAAAGATTTTATAGGTGCATGTTTTTTATTTATAGAAAAACTTCTTATGAGTCATCTTCTTTGCATACGTCTGCTCAGCCTTTTGAAAACTTTCAGTTGCATAGATATAAGCAGAATGCTTTGGATGAGATATAAATTGTGAACTTCCATCAGAAAATAAACTGCATAAATAAGTGATATTGTAGGAATTAAGATTTACCCTCTCCACTCCTTTCTCTCACTAAATGAATTGACTGTCAGTTGCAACTTCATTGTCTCTTTGCTGTGACAACTGTAGGAGCTATGAATCAATTGCTTAAGATAATTTTCTATACTTTATCACATTTATTACCTTCAACTTTATACTAATATCGTTTTTCAACATTTCAAAGGTCAGGATGAACCCATGCAGGCTTATATGTTCCCTATTTTCGAATGGACCAGTCAAAGTGTGTTGGAAAGGGATAATGTGTTATTATATATTTTTCTTCACTTGAAACTGCACAATCCAAACAGCCCTGGTTGATGTTATGCCTCAGTTTGAGCTTTTCAAGTTTGTGTCATAACCCACATCAGGGTACAACTGTTGTCGGTGCCTGAGGCTGGAATTGAGAACTCATGATGTTATTTTGAATTGCTTTGCTTATTTTTCTTTTCAATGTTGGTGTTTTTATGCCTCCATCGACACAACTAAAACCGTTTAGTAGACAGGCTTTAACCCTGCCTGTCAGAGCCAACTTGGGCTGAGAAGGATACAAATTTCAGCAAAAAGAATTAGGTACTCCATAAAAATTATCCCCCTACAAGAATTGCAGAAAAGACGCTGGTGCTTTGCTATTTATAGAAACGGAGATTGTTGAATCTTAAAGTCTCTAGGATAACAGTATTAGCAGTTCAGTGATTCAGGAATATCACATGTATTGGTAACCTTTACTTTGCTGGGTCAACAGTGTCTATTGTTTCCGCACTGATTCAGGTTTCCATTTCGATTTTTATTTCTTCTTGACAGGTACTTTGTGGGCTCAAGGGAATCGACGTTTTCATTCCGTATTCAGGATGAAAGAGAAATTCTTGGCTTTGATCCAGAAAAAACTTTTAATCGCTTATGCAATGAAGAGGATAAGGAGTGTGAGCAGCCAGCAAAATGGAAAATTGTTTATTAATTAGACTCCCGTTTTTCATTTTAAGTTGACTGACTCTAAATATTGCTTTTATGTAAAACTTATTGTTATGACAACATTTGCCCGGGTAAGGAAAGACTAAACATCTTTCCAAAAATGCACCTGGCCATCACTAAGTAAAGAACTCATGTATATCTTTATGCACATTAGGAAAGAAAAAGTTAAGATTATCCTTTGTATGTATTTAGCTGCCACAAAGGACATTCCCCTGCCCCCTAGAAAAAAAAAAATCCACTCATTAATATGAACACCCACACACACACACGCACACATGCACACACACACATACACACGCACACACACACTCAGTCACTCACACACACAACACAATTCCTCACCCTCACACTCACCCCTGTCTTTCCAAAGTGGTTATTGGTTCTTCCTGTGATTTTTGGACTGTTTTTAATTTTGTGAGTGAAAATGACTTGATAATATTTACCTCCTGATTGTTAGTTTTTTTTCTCCAGCATTATACCTTGTTACCTCTTAAACATTTTAAACATTTTTCATAACACTGCTTTGTCTGCTTTGTATGGTTGTATTTGATAAAAATATTTTAGTAGTACTATTCTTTTCTGCACTTTAACTCTTTAAGTAGGCCTACTGTTTTACTGTGTCTCTCTCCTTTAACTTCAGAAATGGTACTGAACTCTTTACATAAGATTCAGGCTTTCTGGACTCTAGGTGGGGCTGGAATTAAAGATGGAAATTGTCGTAGGGGTAAAGTTTCTTGTGTGTTTCCATGTTCATTTGTTCAATTTGAGCAAAATAGCTTCCACATAGTTCTGAAGCTGAGTATCATGTATTTATAGCTCGGTTGGTTTCCAGCCTGCAACTGTTGTTGGCCCACTTACTGAAAGTTGTCAGGTGAACACCTGGAGATTAAATTGTGTGAGAGTTGCGGAGAATCGATTTTGGTTTGAAAGCCATTTAGCCATTCACATTGCTCTACATATTGAAGACTTGACCAGATTCTGTGCCTGCCCATTAACCGTTTAAATTGAAGCGTTTTTGTCATAACTCATTCGATTATAAAAAAACCAGTCTGCTGTCCACTTGGGGTCTTGTCTGTATGCTTTTGTACATGTGTGTGTGTGTATGTGTGTGTGTGTGTGCGTGTGTGTGTGTGTGTGTGTGTGTGTGTGTGTGTGTGTGTGTGTGTGTGTGAGAGAGAGAGAGAGAGAGAGAAAGAGAGAGAGAGAGAGAGAGGGTGTGTGTGTATATATGTACGTGTGTGTGTGGGTGTGTGCGTATATGCATGCGTGTGTGTGTGTAGGCTGGTGATGGGGATGTGTGTGTTCATGTGGCAATGCCCATGTTTTATATATGTCAGTGATAAACTCGTAGTAGTTTTTCTGTATTTGTATGACTTGCTAAATGCTGTGTGATAGATTGTATATCTTTTGTGTGATGCCAAGGTAGCTAATCACTTAAAAGACATTCCCTGCTAAGCAAAGTCTCCTTCTGTCTGTCACCATGGCTGTGTTTGTCTGCTGGTGCCCCATTTCTTGCCACAATAGGCTTCCATCTTCCCTTGTCTCTGCTTTGATGTTTTGTTCTGAGGCTTGAAAAATTAGGTCTTAGATGAAATGAATTTGATGGACTGTGGTTTTAAGGGAAGGCGCTACTGACATTTCCAGCTCTTTAGATTCGCCCTGTACACACATTCTTGTGCTATCACTGTGTTCAGCATGTTTTTAGGAAATGTTTAGATATTTGAATCTGGTGAAATCATTATTTATTGACAAATGAGATGTACATTATGTAACGGTTATCTCAAAATTTACGGCATTAAAAAAAATCCTCAGGCTTTTTCATTTTTCAAGCAATATCTTTGCTATTTGGTAAGATCATAAAGTACTACAATTCAAAACTTTTGTCAACAGGAAAACTACATATTTAAATTAGTTTTGTTTTAGCAGCTTATTTTGTGTGCTATATCGGAAAAACGCGAACATTTTAGGGGGAAGGGTTATAAAACAATTTACTCCCCAAAAACTAAAAACACTGTGCTTATATGATGTTGACAAGATGTTGCATTATGGTTTTAAAGACATCATGGGTAATTTGAACCCATTTGGTAGAAAAATGTGGAAGCCTTAGTATTATTAATACCTTCTAAATGTTACCAAATTACAGAATGAAAGTTTACGCAATCTGTAAAAATAGTGTGAAAGAAAAGCAGCCTTCACTTTATATTCCTCTTGGTTGCCCAGGAATGATGGTTCTCTCCATTTAAATCTCTATATATTACCCTCTATTATAACAAAGACTGTTATAACAGAAAACGTTGCGCACTTGGAAAAAAAAGAAAAAAAAAAGCCTAATTTTTGTAGCACCTTTTCTTAAGTGAGGTAAGTTTTTGTAAAAGTTCTGTAGTGTGACCCTGGTGAGAATATAAATGGACTAGGATGGTTGGCAGTGGGATCTTACGGGGAGACTAATGTAGGTAAAGTAAGCCAATCAGCCCCATAGTCAGTCAAAGTGCAGGTAATTTTTTTATTTTGTTGCTCTCATAAGAAAGCTGATGTGGCTTCACAGTTACTCTCATGGTCTTCCAGTTTATAATAATGATTGCATTTATGTAGTGAATATTCCATGCTTTATGCGCTTTGCAGCTATTTTTACCCTAGCAGACCCAAGAACATGACTACGAAACATTCTTGGCTTCCCGGGAAGCATACAGTGGGAGCTGCAGATTTCATGCACTAAAACACTAACAATCTGACAAGATCTTTTGCTGTTTACAGTCAGATACCCTTTGGCGTCTGGGTGAAGTGAGGAAAATTTGGGTAAAGTTCCCAAGGACACAATATTGGGCCCCTGAATGGATTCAAACTCACTACCTTACACTTGAGAGTCCTAGAGTCTTATCACCAGACCGTGGACACCACCATTTGAATCCCCCGGGAACACACATCAGTGCTGCCATATCTATAATAATTGTTAAAAATCTATCTGTGTTTGAATGAAGTAGAAAAATAGGATAAAGAACCTTTTTGAATGTTCATGTTGTTTACCCAATCCACTGTAACAAGCTTGCAAGTCTGATGGCGTAGTCACAAGACTAGAATGCCCCAGTCAACTGCAAATGAATCAAATTAGTTCCATATTATGTCTTTTGGTTTTCAAGTCCTGTAAATGTGTAATTCTGAGACTTCCAGTCATGTTACAACAATTTCTGTTGCAATACAGGGTCATCAAGAAGTATTTTTAAAAAATACAGAATATGTTTTTCAGATTGTTGTGTTGGTATATTTTGCCAAAGGATTACGCTGCTCCTAGCCGTAAAGTATTATTCCTTTCTTTCACATTTTTATGAGATCGCTTTGTATTACTTTTTTGTGTTTTATTGTTTTAAAAAATAATTTTAAGAATGTGTGATTAGAATGAAAATGAACCATACTTAGCAGAATATGTATCAGAGGACAGCTTTAATGTCTATGTCTGGAAGTGTATGAAGTTTAAAGTTTTTTAAGTGTCCAGATGTAGGCTACTGTATATAACATACTTTGGTACATTAGTGCAACAAATTTGAACATATCAAAGCTTGTGATTGAATTTCTTACATCACCTGTACTGAGAAAAGCTTTAACACCCTTTATGGTTTGACAGAAAGGCCTGACTTGCTTGAAATTTTGTCAATGGAGGAGGACTTCTTGTATCATCGGCTAGCTGTTCAAATGTTCGAAGCCCAGAGATCAAAACGTTTTAGGCAAGAGAAAGAAATAAGTTACATTCTTTTAATAGTAGTAGTTAGGCCTACCTACTTAATGTATCTTTTATTGCTTGTCAATATTTAGAATTTGAATTTTGACAAAATGTTTCTAGAGCGCATGAGGAGTCCAGGAATAACGGGAATAATCACAAACTGAAAATTGTGAGGGTATCAATTTGAACGCTTGTTGACTGGTAACTGTATTTTTGTTCAACTGTTGGTTGATTATTGTTGTTAGATTTCCCATTCAACAGGCAAGCTTCCCCATACATCTAACTGCCTCTACTCCTCAAGACAACAATTAGAACAGACATGCAGCTATTACAGAATGGCATCATGCGGAAGAGTTAACACTCAGATGCTACTGGGTCGCTAACAACAACCACAATAACATTCAACAGACATAACAATAAACCACCAATCAAACAAATATGAAGTTACGAGTCCACACGCGTTTAAAATTGACACTCTCACAATTTCCAGTTTGTGACTCTGCCCGTTTTTCCCATGGACCCCTCACATATAAGTGCTACTGTTCCCATGGACCCCTCACATATAAGTGCTACTGTTCCCATGGACCCCTCACATATAAGTGATACTGTTCCCATGGACCCCTCACATATAAGTGATACTGTTCCCATGGACCCCTCACATATAAGTGATACTGTTGCCATGGACCCCTCACATATAAGTGATACTGTTCCCATGGACCCCTCACATATAAGTGATACTGTTCCCATGGACCCCTCACATATAAGTGATACTGTGGATTAAGAAACTGCTAGAAAAACATTTCTCAAAATTTTGGGCTAAGCATGTCTAAACAGCTCATCAATGATATGTGTGTGCGAACGACTAGCAGGAGGAAACCAATGACCATGGTTTTTTACTGGGGCTTGGAGTACATGTATCATGTATCAGTCATGTACTGCTTGGCCAACATTTTTCTGAACAGATACTTTGCATGAAGGAAAAGTGTTTATAATGACATCACTACGACAAAGTTAAATGTAAAGAAAAATTAATTTGACAATATGGTGATTTCTTTAAACATGTGCATGGTAGAATCGTCACATTTAACATGATTATGAGTAAGCGTCATGAAGTGTAGCAGTGCTGGGGGTTTTTTCAGCACCTTTTATGTGCTGGAAAGAAACGTTTAGTTCTGCTGATATTGTTTCTGACAAACGTCAAGTAGGCCTACTCGGAATGTGATCTTGACTAGATATTTCTGTTTTTGAGAACAAAAAATAGATTTATTTTAAGAGATACATAACAAAACAATTTGCTTTTTTTTATGAAATAAGTTTTCTGCTGACATCTCTGCTTTTTGAATGCAGTAGTGGTTTGATTTGTGTGATACGGAGCTGCTGAAGGTATACAAAATGTCTGCAGCACGATAATGCTGGTTAAAAGTGCACTTTGTAGTTCCGTCCTGTACTCTTGGATCATTTTATTCATCAGACCAGTGAGCCAATGCTGGTTATAGGCCAAGCAGTGGAGAAGTTATTG